AGTCTCTCTGAGAGCGGCTCGGAAGAGAGGGGCGGGGTCAACAGAGCTCATTAACATTTAAAGGAAAATGCTACAAAAACGGCTTGATCTGAAAAGAGCTGTTTTTGACAGGGTAAAAAAGGTGTTTTTTACATTACCATTGAGAAATTTTAACCAAAGTATGTTATAGACTTTTCATTAAGACCTTAAAGAATCATATCAACTTATATCAAATGGGCATCCGATGACCCCTTTAAGAAACCAAATAGATTTTAAATAATCACTTTTATCAATCACTCATATGTGCAGTTATAATTAAGTTGCCTAACAAAGCATGTTAAAGGTGTCATATGATGTTGCTAAAAAGAACATTATTTTGTGTATTTAGTGTAATGAAATGTGTTTATGCGGTTTAAGGTTAAAAAAACCACATTATTTTCCACATACTGTACATTATTGTTGCTCAAATGGTTCAAAAATTTTAGGTCAGTAAGTAATATATTATAATATAAAAATAGAAAACTGGTATTTTAAATTGTAATAATATTTCACAAAATTACTGTTTGTACTGTGTTTCAATCAAATAAATGCAGCCTCTGTAAGCATTAGTACGGTGGCCGAGAAGTGCAGAGCAAATCACAATTCTGAAAACAAAATAACAAATTACAAACGCAAATCTGAATTGTTGTTGTGCTTTCTGAATTGTTATTTTGTTTTTTAGACTTGCATTTGCGTTTGTAATTTGTTATTTTGTTTTCAGAATTGTGATTTGCTCTGCACTTCTCGGCCACCGAGACTATATAAAAAAAAACATGAAAAAATCTTAAAGCCCCCAAACTTCCATTAGTCTCAAACCTGACTGCGTTTACATGATGTTAAACACACAAATTATTTCTTTAGTCCGACTAAAAGCAAACTTTCTTTTGCACTTACTATTCACCGAGAAAAGCCCACAAAAGGAAATGAAAGCTTTTAATTGTTGGCATATGGTATGTAAATTAGTACAATGGACATCTTTGGCTGTAGCATCTTATGGTTTCTTCAGTCTCTCAAGTCATGAATACCACTTTTGAAAGATTGTATGCTAACATTGTGTAAATGCAATTCAATTTTGAAAAATATGCTTTCTGTTCCATGGACTTGTGCTCTATCAAGCTAAAACTGCTCCTTTTACTTATTTTGTTTGGTCTGGTTTGGTGAGATTGTCAAATATACAGATTAGCAAATATACAGATTATTTGACCACATAATGCTGTGATTGATCAGTCAGAATCAAGTATTCCAAAAGGCCGTGTAATGTGATTCTATAAAACTGCAGATTTCCATTCAGTCAACAGCACTGTTTAAAAAAAAAGTCATTGTGACTAAACACAGTGTTGTTCAATTCCAAGGGTCTACTATGATCATAATTTACAAGAACACTTTCATTTTTTTGCAATTGCTCATTTCCTTTCCCCCAATGAGCAGATATTATTGGCCTGCTGTAGATGAAACCCGAAGCGGTTGGTATAATTGCTTAGCAAATATCTGTGCGTTTATGCCCATATTTACCCATGTAAATTGGCAATGATCATTCCTAAATGACAGCACATCAAAAGTGGAATAGGCTGACTCTATGTGTAGAATTAATTCCTGTGATGAGTTAGGCAGTAATGTCTTTTTTAACCATGAAATTAAAAGCGGAGCACAGCCACCATTGTCTGAATGTTTCTCAAGATTAATTTATTTGTGCCTTGCAAGGAATTGACATGAAGGCAGCAGGTTATTTATTTTTGAAGGTATTGAATGCAATTATGCATAATTTACTGCTATTACTACAGTATGTATATGTAACATGTAATAAGGACACTAAAATAAAGTGTTACCAAAACCAATAAATATTTAAAGCAGGTAAAGCTAATGTGAATAGGTCAAAAGTAAAAAAGCAGGGTGTGCATTTATAAAATACATGCTTGGATTTCTTAAAGGCTGGACTTGTATAACTTGCACAATGCAATTCTAATATTTATCTGCGAGTAGTGCATTTCTTTGTCTTTATAGCCTACAGTCTCTGTTACAGCACTTGACCTCTGGTGACCTCAAGGGGGACTGAAGCTGCAATCAGTGGTTACTATAAAACACAATCTATAACAAGAGTCAAGGTATGTGTAGAGCATATCTGCTTATTCAATCAGTGTAGTTTAGTCTAGTATAGTCCAGTTTAAGTTCCATTAAATATTGATATTAGCTTGTGCATGAACATTCAGGCTACAAC